AAACAAACAACAACAAACAGCAACAAACAGCAACAAACAACAACAAACAAAAACAAACAACACCAAACAACACCAAACAACAACAAACAACAACAACCAACAACAAACAACAACAAACAACAACAACAAACAACAACAAACAACAACAAACAACAACAACCAACAACAACAAACAACAACAAACAACAACAACAAACAACAACAAACAACAACAACAAACAACAACAAACAACAACAAACAACAACAAACAACAACAAACAACAACAAACAACAACAAACAACAACAAACAACAACAAACAACAACAAACAACAACAAACAACAACAAACACCAACAACAACAACAACAACAACAACAACAACAACAACAACAACAAACCAACAAACCCACACACCGACAAACGACCAAGCGACAAGCGACAACGACAACCAACAACACAACCAACAAACAACAAACAACAAACAACAATTAACAAACAACAACTAACAAACAACACTAAACAAAACCAAACTAACAAACAACAACTAAAACAAAACAACAACAAAACAACAACAAAACAACAACAAAACAACAACAACAACAACAACAACAACAACAACAACAACAACAAATAACAAACAACAAACAACAACACACAACAAAACAGAACCACACAGAGCAACACGCAACAACACGCAGCAACACACAGCAACAGACAAACAACAGACAGACAAACAACAGACAAACAAGAACAGACAACAACAAACAACAACAAACAACAACACACAACAACACACAACACACAACAACACACAACAACACACAACAACACACAACAACACACAACAACACACAACAACACACAACAACACACAACAACACACAACAACACACAACAACACACAACAACACACGACAACACACGACAACACACGACAACAACACACAACAACACACGACAACAACACGACAACAACACACGACAACAACACACGACAACAACACACAACAACACACAACAACACACAACAACACACAACAACACACAACAACACACAACAACACACAACAAACACACAACAAACACACAACAAACACACAACAAACACACAACAAACACACAGCAAACACACAGCAAAAACACACAGCAAACACACAACAGCAAACACACAACAACAAACACACAACAACAAACACACAACAACAAACACACAACAACAAACACACAACAACAAACACACAACAACAAACACACAACAACAAACACACAACAACAAACACACAACAACAAACACACAACAACAACCACAGACAACAACCACAGACAACAACCACAGACAACAACCACAGACAACAACCACAGACAACAACCACAGACAACAACCACAGACAACAACCACAGACAACAACCACAGACAACAACCACAGACAACAACCAGAGACAACAACCAGAGACAACAACCAGAGACAACAACCAGAGACAACAACCAGAGACAACAACCAGAGACAACAACCAGAGACAACAACCAGAGACAACAACCAGAGACAACAACCAGAGACAACAACCAGAGACAACAAAGAGACAACAAAGAGACAACAAAGAGACAACAAAGAACAACAAAGAACAACAAAGAACAACAACGAACAACAAAGAACAACAAAGAACAACAAAGAACAACAACGAACAACAACGAACAACAACGAACAACAACGAACAACAACGAACAACAACGAACAACAACGAACAACAACGAACAACAACGAACAACAACGAACAACAACGAACAACAACGAACAACAACGAACAACAACGAACAACAACCAACAACAACCAACAACAACCAACAACAACCAACAACAACCAACAACAACCAACAACAACAACAACAACAACAACAACAACAACAACAACAACAACAACAACAACAACAACAACAACAACAACAACAACAACAACAACAACAACAACAACAACAACAACAACAACAACACAAACAACAACAACAACAACAACAACAACAACAACAACAACAACAACAACAACAACAACAACAACAACAACAACAACAACAACAACAACAACAACAACAACAACAACAACAACAACAACAACAACAACAACAACCACAACAACAACAACAACAACAACAACAACAACAACAACACCACCAACAACAACAACAACAACAACAACAACAACAACAACAACAACAACAACAACAACAACAACAACAACAACAACAACAACAACAACAACAACAACAACAACAACAACAACAACATTTTCATTTCATTTCGGACGCATGTGCGGGTTATGTCCCGCACCTTGGCGGGCATCGAGGGTGAAAAAGAAGTGACCTAGTCGTTCGGGACCTGATCTTCCGGTGTCCTACCTTCTGCAGGCAAGGTAGATTGCGCTGCTGTGCACGTCTCCGCGAGACTGGTCTTCAGCCTCAGCAGGCAGGTTGGCAGGCAGGCCTGGTCTGAAGACATCGGCCGTGCAGGTTAGCATTTATGTATATGCAGCATTGAGGCTTTTTCCGCAGCGCGAGAAGTTTACTCTGGATCAATCCTTTGTCAGGACTGTTTCAGCTTGTAGAAAGAATGGCTCAGCTTGCTGGAGGCGACCTCACTCGCATACTGGAACCAGTCTGATGACACGATATGGGGAAGCAAGAATGGCTGCTTCTCGAACTCGAAGTAGGGACTGGACCTGTCTGCGATGAAAGGGAGCAAGCATCTTGTACACAATTGCGTACGGCTTATACTCCTCATAGACGTCGTCGTACAATGGATTGATGATCTGATAGAAGCGAAGTGCCATGCTGTTCTGGAAGTCCTGAGAGTGATCTTCCGGGTTGGGAATTCCGGCGCTGGCGCGGAACGCAGAATTGACCTGCTTGATCAAGGCTTCCTCAAAGAGCTCGAGAAGTTCACCTTTCGAGATCACTGTTTCAGCTATCATGGATCGAACCCAGGCTATTTCGTCTGCAAGGATTGCTTGAAGGAGCCACTTCCGGTACATGACCAGGTCCTCGCGGATTTGATCTCGGTAGTCAGGAAGGTGAGGCAAAAGAGCTTGGAGGTGTTGATCGTAGGACAGAACTTGAAGGTGTTGGTCCTGATGTTGAAAGCGCCATCCGTTCTTTACCGACGATGCCCTTTCTGAGGTTGAGGAGGACACTTTGAGAAGCTGCTGTACCCGGTATATTTTGGAGGCTCGCTGAAGCGCCTGCAAGTCAAAGTAGTGGAGGTCCAGTTGCTGGTCGTCATGTAGATGGAGATTGGAGGGGAAGTAGTCCAGGCCTTGTCCCGGAGCGTGGGATGGCTGTGACTGCTCAATGCCCGAGAGAAGGCGTGGCGTGGACGATCGCATCATCAGGTGAAGATGTGACAGGGTGTTGGCTATCATAAAGTGCACCTCCCCCTGGCCGAAGTGGCGCGACAGGTACATCCAGATGCGCTGGATGGTGGGCTCTGCATCTTCTAACTGAAATGAGGCCTGACCAGGACCATCGTTCGTGTAATCCCGAATCGCCTGAGAGATGAATAGGAGCTGGCGCTTCTGTTGGTACGTCAGGGTGTCGACGCGAGGCTCAGTCAGCATCATCTCGTCATGCTTTCGTTTTGCTGACATTTTCCGGGGGGCTGTTTTTGGAAGGTAGAGTCGCAATTCTCCCATATGCCAGTGGACCTTCTCTGTGAGCAGCTTCATAAAGCTGCAAGCTCGCGAGGCTATCCTTATCTGACGGTCCGAGTGTTGAATCGCCTCCTCCGCAGAGGTGCGTGAGGGTGCTAGGCCCAAATTGCTGGCCGTGGAGGCGCCGGATTGAGAAGTAGAGTATACCGGCAGCGGCATGAAGAGTGATTCTAGGAGGACCTCCATTGCTTGTTCGCGGCTAAGGACGGGATGAAGATCTGCCATTATTTGGCAGGGTTTAAGTTCGCCCAGGAGGAGACCTCACTCGTGCGGAACCTGAGAGCGAAAAACGTTGCGAGGAGAGCTGTGCGTGTGGTGACTCGGTGCAGTCTGAGCCAAGCTC